ATATCATTTAATAAATGTTTTGTTTTGATATATAAGTTGTTTAGGTTTTCTCATCTAAAAAAGTGACATTAATTTCTTGACAACTTAATATAAATGAAAGCTTGTTTCAGATGCTGGTTCTTCCTATGCGTAGTAGTTAAACTAAAGCCAAACTTGGTGCTTTCTTATCAAATTATGAAACATTTTAATTGTACTTTGAAAAATATGTATGCAGACTTAGTAGGTTTGAGAACTTTAATGGGTTGCTACTGTCTGTTGAATAAAAAAAAGATACAATGTTTCGGCCTTTGTACTGAGGCTTCACTATATGTATGCAATTCTGAAAATATAGTAACTTCACATATCCAGTTAGTGGGCCATTTCTAGCATACTCATTATGAATCACTCATTCAAATTTTAATTTTTGCATTAAGAATATTTTACTTACAAAGAAGTTTTAATATTAAAATCCCATTTAATAAATCCTGTAAGTAACAATGATTCTACAACATTTTCACCTTTTGCAGTCCAGCCCTCTATAGGTAAAATGTTGAATGCTTCTATATCTAGAAATCAATTATTTTTTTTACCATACAGGGCCATAGGAAGCAGCAAGACCAGTCAGGCCATGGCCTGACCACTTTTTCATGGCATGTATAGCAACAACTTGTATATTAAAACTTGCTTCTTTTAATTCAGTATATTACATTGTGTGTATGTAGTACTTGTAGTTAAAATGGCTCAATATTCAATCTCAAAACATTTCTGGGGGGCATGTACTCAGATCTCCCTAGAAATGGTAATGTGGAAATGGCCTGACCATTCCAAAATTTCTTCCTACAGCAATGACCATGAGCTAGCATGAAATTAGCTATTTTGTTTTTCATATGTTTCTCTCCAATAGAAAATTGCAAAATGTAGAAATAATTTGAACAATAATTAACTGGTAATGCTACATTTCCTCAGAGTAATATTTGTTTTTGAATACATACTTCAAATTCTTCAACATTGATTAAGTCTTAATTTACTGATGAGTGAAAAGTTACTTGCTTTTCAGTTTTTTAGTGGTACAGTCTGTTTTTTTTAATGCTAATTAATTACAAAAGTAAATAGAGTCTGCAGAATGAGAAGACATTTCTAGTTAAATGAAAACAGTAGATTATGATTATATTTTTAATGTTTAGCCTCTTGCTTACCAAATGGACTACATTTGGTAGTTTATCAAATTTTCATTTTTTTTTTTTTTTCATTTTTCAAATACAGAATACCTGGTCATGAAAGGGTTAATTCCACAGTATTAAGATTGCAAAAAATTCCTCATGGAAAAACATGTATTTCATACTTCTTAGTGACAAACTGACCATATTAAAGAGAGGCTGTACAGTTTTTTGCAATGGTGTAATATAGAAGTGAGAAATGTGCAAAGCTTTGGCCTGTAGGAGTGTGTCACATGGCTATAAGAATATGTAATGAAAGATGATTAATATCTTTGTCTTAGCTTGATATGATGAATTAATTTTATTTAAAGGACCAAAAATTAATTCCAATTTGTAAAGTACATTTTAAGCAAACTGTCTATGAAAAAAAGGATACATGGGAAATTGTTTTGGTAATCTTTTTTGAATATGCTTCGATATAAAATTAGCTGTTTAATGTGCAAATATATTTGAAGACTGGTTTTTTAAAATGTTCCCAAATATTTATATTGACATAGTAAAAGTTAAGTTTTTACATATCTGAAACAAACAGTTTTAGTGTGTCTAATATTAAGGTAGTTAAAGTTACATATGAAACCTTTATGATTTTTTTAAACAAAACTATGTTCTAAAACATAAACAATGTTATGTATTGTTTAGCATATTACAAATCTTTATTTTTACTATTAATTTCTGCAACACATTCTTTGCATATTGAAGGTTCTCGGTCAAAGATTCCTTTGTTTCTTATATAATTCTTTTAAAGGTTTTTTAGATCATAGAAAATGTCAACTGTACAAGTGTTCTAATACCATAGGTATCTACCTTTTAAAGTTTATGTTTAGTATTTATTATTTTACTGTTTACAAATAGTTAGAATTTCATTAATTGGATTATAAACTTACACATGTAGCAACAAACTATTAAGTGTCGAGTAATGCTCTTTAATTATTACTCGACCTCATTAATTGGAATATAAGTTTATACAGGTAGAAACAATCCATTAAGTGTCGAGTAATACTCTTTAATCATTAATCTAGAGTGCAAAAAAACCAGATGGTCAGCTCATAAGATTAACTGCTAGTTTACATCTGCCGCTACAAGAACGATTTGTTTATGTAATTCTTTTAAAGATTTTTAGGTCATGGAAAATGTCAACTGTACAAGTGTTCTAATACCATAGGTATCTATCTTTTAAAATTTACATTTAGTGTTTATTGTTTTACTGTTTACAAATAGTTAGAACTTTATTAATTTGAATATAAGCTTATACATGTAGCAACAAGCTATTTAGTGTCGAGTAACGCTCTTTAATGATTAATCTAGAGTGCAAAAGAACCAGATGGTCAGCTCGTAAGATTAACTGCTAGTGTATATCTACCACTACAAGGACGATTGGTATGTGGACGTGAAGATGGAAGTATAATTATTGTTTCTGCTACACAGACTGTAATGTTACAGCTATTATATGGACGACATCATACCTTTGATGGTACAAAAACAGTTCTTAAGTTTTTTTTATTGTTATGTAGTTTTTAGAGAGACTAATTACCTATTGCATTCTGATAAGTATCATAATCTAAGCTTTTTAAGATTTGAAAAACTTTTTTCTCCTTCTAGAAATTTGTATTTATGTATTGAAAAATACAAATTTAATTGTGATTAAAATCATAAACAAACAAACAAAAAAGCACAAAAGTATTTATTAATCTGATCCTACAGAATTTTCTGCTTACATTGTCATAATTTGTATCTTTATTACTTTTAAATTAGACAGAAAAATATTGATTGAATACAATATTAATAGGCTTCCCTTTGACTCAGTGCTAAGTCCGTGGAGTTGTAGTGCTAAAAATTGGATTTTGTTATCTGTGGTGGGCACAGCACAGCTAGCCCATTTTGGAGCTTTGTGCTTAACTTCAAACAAAGAAGATATCCATTGCCTTATTTTTGTGCCGTATATATATTGGAAATAAAATATTCAGTCATTACATGTATTTCAGTTGTCATTGTCAAAATTTTAATAATTTTCTTATTTAATATCATGAACAGAAGTTTATAATCTCTGCAGAATTATTGGTTTTATAACTTTTCTATGTTTTTTCAAGGTTACCTGACACCATGAAAAACAAAATATAGTTACTTACTTACCTCAGCTGATACTTATGGCTATTACTCGACTGCCAGGGTTTCTTCTTTCCCCATCTAAGCATTGGTTTGATTTTTTCTCGCTTGCTCCAGACTATTATACTCCACTCAATTACCCTTGGCAATATTTGTCTTGTAATACTCTCCACCTCTATGCACCCTCTATCCTAGTACTGTATAAGATTCTCTTTCAGATAGTTTTACCACATTTTCGTGACAAGGCATCACTAATGGGTTATTATGTTATCTAGTTGATTTTCATAATAGGAAAAATAATTTAAAAAAAAATTGCTTCCAATTGGTGAGTCTATTACGTTACAAATTCTCGGATTATTATTTCTTGCATGGAGGCAAGTTGGGTCTCTCCTCTCCCACCTCTGTTATCTAGCATTGCCCAATAATTGGGAGGAGTCACTATTGGTTGAGATTGTCAGTGATCTTATTCATGTGAGATGGTGATGTATATTCAGATCTGTGGTGGTCGTCCAGGAGGCTTCCATCGAGGGCGATTCTCAACATTTTAAAATAATTTACACTTGCTTTTTCCTGTGCTTTCTTTCAGTCTGTTGGACTTTCAGCCTCTCTGTGGGACAGTGGTAAGTTTATAGATTTGCAGCACTGGGGTCCAGGGTTCAATTCCCTAAGGTTGTCACAACAGATGGCCTGAAATTGCTTTGCTCTAACAAACCAACTTCCTTTATCTCAAAAAATGCTGTTCCAGTCAATGTTAATCAGTCTTTATATGACCTATGAAAAATGAAAAGGAGGTCACTTTAGGATAAGCTGCCTTTGATTTGTTTTTCTTCTGTCAGTTCTTTGAGAGTGTGAGGTTTTGGGTTTTTTCCTGGGTTGCTTTTGAGCCTGCAACTTACTTGTGGCTGAAAGGTCTGGGAACAAATATTTTCTCCATACACAGATGTTGTGGTTCAGGCTGGAAGGTTTACTGCTTAGTTATGTGAAAGGGCGTGCCTTATACGACATGATGTTGTCCGAACATTGTGATTTAGCATACCACCACCAGCTGGAGGCATTTTTCTGACACTTAAATAATACATCTGCTCCTCAAATTTCAGGGTTCTAAGGCAGAACTTGTAGTTCACCTATATAGGTCTATGTTCCCTGATGGGTCTATGGACTTACAACTCACATTCAACATTTTGTTTCCTTTTACTTCACTTTGTTAGAAGACTCTCAGGATCACCAGCTTTTTTTGATGACGAGCTGAATCCCTTGTTAGCATGCACGTTGATTCAGTGTTTGACTTCTACATTCCTCCCAGTTGTTGTTGGAGTCTTGAGTTTCATCATCTTCTATAGTTCTGCTCCTATTTGTGAGTCCTGCCCCCATCATCAGACCCTTAGTATATTGGTACTCAGAATAGATCTGTCTATATCCAAGGTTTCCTCTGCTTAATTGCATTGCCATCAGTGTTAGTGATTATTGAGTACCTTCGGGGGATGTGGGGGCACGATTCCAAGAATTTCTGGATGTGTGGTAACCTTAACAATGAGTCCAGAAGCTATGGAGGTCCTGGGGTCACAAATAGTTGTTCACTTCACATCGGGATTTGGAACTTAGTTCTAGGGTTATCTGAGTTTGATTGGTCTAGGGGTATTGAGAGAGTTGGGCTATTTCTTCAGAGTTTTTAATTCTATCAGTTGTTGGGCCTATGCAGATGGGAGATTGGTGTTCAGTCATCGATCTTCATTGTCGACATCAATGCCTAGATTCTCCAAGATTCACAAGTTACTCATTCCTCAACCTGTGTTTATTTTTTTTTACTGGGTCTGTAGATGTCCAATTTAATTGTAGTCAGCTCCTATCTGCACTTTACCTTAGCAGTGGAGTCTCACCACTCTTGGCATTTGTGGTGCACAAGGGTCAGGTACTGCAGTTCTGGGTTTTTCCTTTCGGATTTGCATAGGCTTCACATGGGTTCTGCTGTATCATACTTTTTTTCCTCTCTCATCCCCTTCATTCCATTGTATTGTGCACACTTACGACTTGTTACTGCTAGCAACATCTTGTTATTTGTTAGACCATCACATCCTGATTCTACTTTCAGATACAACCCAGGCAGGCATCCCTTTCAGGGCTTCAACATCTATTCTTGCTCCTATTCAATATGTAATCAGCCTGGGTATTTTTTATTTTTCATCTCATCTCTCTGTCGGGCTCAGCTGTCTCTCATCCTGCTCAATGCTATAGAAGAGGATGCCACACTCTTACCTCTCCTTCTCCTCTTTATTGGTCTTTAAATGATCAAGGATCATACACATCTATTTACTGGTTTCCCCAGTTTCCTTAGGTGAGATCTCTTTCCGATCTTGAGGGGTTGTTAAATCAGGACACTACTATGATTTGAGTTCCTCTACTGCTACCTTGTCCAGAGTTCCATTCTCTTCATGAATGCCTTGCTTCAGGGATGGGATGCATATACCAACAGTCAGGAATTCCAGAGTCTATACATGGATGATGAGGGTTCCTTACACAATGTTTCTGTCTATCTTGCTCTTCAACAGGCAAGGCCTCATGGTCTGGGCTTCTTAAAGGGTAAATTGTAAGGCTTCACCCTGATTATTCTGTGGTGGAGTCTTATGTTTTTCATCATGGAGGCATGTGGTCTACGGCTCTTTATTTTCAAACTTTGGACCACCTTTCTTGGAATTAGTGCTGTTTTATCACCCTTCTAGCTTCCCATGTTCCATGGGTGATGCATGTGGTAGAAGGTCCAATATCTCAATCCAAACAGATGCTCACAACAGAATAGATGTTGCATTGCAAGGTTTTGTTGGATTGGCTCTCCTTTTGCAACTTTATTAGTGGGTTTGCCTCTTATTGGATCACCTAACTACTGGCAGGCTTCAGGCTTTGGCAATTGCTGCTTTCCATCTGGACAGGATGGGATTACATCTCTGAACCTTTTCTCCACTTCATATTTTACCCATGATAAGAATAATGATTTTTTCCAACCCATGATCAGATCCTGATAATAGCACCAGATTGGCTGCTACAACTGGGTTTTTGCTTCTATAGTTCCTTCTGGTGTGTCCAACATTCTACTTTTTTTTAGGGTCTCACTGTGAGGTAGCCATGATCCGTTATGATTCACCTAGCTATCAAGAAGCTATCATTGGGGTTTAATTTCTAAGGTTGACATTTACTTGGCGTAGTTTTGCTTAGTCCAAAAACACTTTTATTAAAGGTAATGACATGCATAACAGCAATGTTGTATTGAGAGGTGGTTGAACTCTTTTTCAATCTGTGGTGTCAACCATTAATTTTTTTTTTTTTTTTACTTTGCTCTTTGACATATATTTTTGCATTTTCCACAATCACCATTGTTTACAAAGGCTGTATAGTCTATCATTTGATTATCACGACTACATATATTTTGAATCTCCAGTATTATCCAGATTCCTCACATTGTTTTGGATAATTGGTCCCAAATGACCATTCCAGTTACCTACCTATGTGTTATTTCTCTACAGCTGTTTGTGACCTGACTCTTGTATGCCATGTATCCCCTTTACCTGTAGGTTTATTTTTCGTGGCTGCTGACCCATGGACATCATTGGTTGGAGTGATTTGTGCTGTTTGTCCACAGACCACTTTTTAATTCTCTCTATATCCTCAGACTAGTTCCTCTTACCCAACACTCTGTCAGATGGCAAATTGGTTCAGTCATTTTCTCTGATTCATCTGCTCAATCTTTTTTGCTTTGTCCAATCAGATTTTGATCTTGGTCATGTTCAGTGAGGGTCTTAAAGGTTTTGTTGCCTGCACCTATACCTTTATAGATACTAGACAAAACTTTTTATTCTGTGCTCTTTTTTTAAGGCAAGGTATCTTTTTTTAGACACATATCATCATATTTCTCTTTTCTATGCCCTCAGCAACCAGGTCAAATTGTCCACTGGAGGTCACTGTGCAGACTGGTATATGGACCTTCCCCATTACCTTTTATCTCATATTGCCTGATCTGGCAGTCTCTTCATCAGAGGGTTTTTGCCTACCCCTGTAGCTATCTTAACCATTTCTGCTAGATTATCCAAAGGGGTGAGTATATTTATTTCTGCCTTTCAGGGTCCCTTACCTCATTTTCTTAGGATCCCACTCTGTGGCAATTGTTGCCCAGACAGGTGTGCTTTTATCAAACCAATTCCATACTAGCAACCACTATTTCAATATAATTACTACCAATTGTAACAGGCTCTGTAGAAATGAGGTGTTCTGTAAGATTACCTAGAAACTCACCAGGTGGTATTACCATACTATACTAAAGGGAATCCTGGCCTTCCCTGCCAATCATTGGAATGAATAAATTGGGGTCGGTTTTTTGAAAACATTTAGGGAACTTGGTTCACCTATTGCACTGTTTCCAAAGCAATGTTCCTCGTGACTCCCAGATTCTAGTAGTTGGAGCTAGGGAGTCATTACCACACCCAGTTTCCAATCACTGGGGTGGTGGACAGACGATTTTCTTCCAGAGTGTTAGAGTGAATTTCTCCAATCTCGGAGAAGAGGGCGAAGTTGGGGGCCCTCCTACCTGAGTCTCTGGATATTGTTTTCCCAGATGAAGGAGCAGCACCAGCCTACATGGGAGTGTACTCATAATTCCAGGGCAAATGGAATGCTTCTTGTCCATTTGGTTGGAGAGTGAAGATGACTGTATGATTTCTGTTCCTTTGGTTGAGTACAGAATACACGAGTCAAGAGCATACCTGTTCTGGATGAAATGCAGTTTTCCCACTTGGGTACCAGTTTTATCTTGGTACATCCATGAACTGTGCAAATGCTTTATGTATGGATAATGCCCTCACCGGCTCCTCCATGTTCTCAATGTGGGATTCTAGCTATAAGTGTCAGCGAACATAAGTATGTTTGGAAGTTAATATATTCCTAAATTGAAAATGTATTTCCAATAATACTTACCACTGCTGACACTCTCCCACCCTTCCTCCCCACTAAGAGCCAGGATTAGAGACCTGGAATAGTGTCAGTCTTGAAAAAGTGATAAAATTATCTGAATGAGGTACTTATATACAATACCAGGATAGAGAGTGCATTGATGTAGGTGTAGAATATCATGAGAATATCACCAAGGGCAATTGAATGAGTTATAAATGACTGGAGCAGAGAAGAAAAAATCAAACCAATGCTTAGGTGGGTAAAGAAGAAATCCTGATGGTCGAGTAATAGCTATAAGTGTCAGTTGAGGTAAGTATTATTGGAAATACATTTTCAATTTAGGAAAATATTAACTATCTATTGTAAGCTACTTGTTACTTTTATAAAATAATATTTTTCAGTTGGTTCAGTGGAAAAAAATAATAGCATTTTAGTAACAGAGTTAAAACTCTATTGGTTCGTGTGTGTGTAGACTTGTATAGATTAGAAGAAAATGCTATGGAATACAGCATTTGCTTAAATGTTTTGATTGAGAAACACAGTGTGGCTAATTAAAACGATTTTATAAAGACAATAAATGAGCAAAATTGTATGTGCTTAACTAATATAATTAGAAAATTGCTTATTCAGATTAGGTGATGATTTCCAGCTTACTCTAGACACATTAAAATAAATGGTAAATATGTGCATTCTTGAAACAAACTGCAACTACAGTAGCATGTTCAAGTGAGTTATTGTGTATGTGTGGTACATTTAATTACATCGTTCAATCAAGATAACACTGAAATAGTCGTGAGATAAATCATTTTCCATATTTTTAAGAATAGTATGTAATTAACACAAAAAAACTTGACATAAACATCGGGTTGTATGTGATTTGCGCTTGTTGAGTAAGTTAAAATGTAAATCTTTAGACTTTATTCTCCCATTTAAGGGAAAATGAAATTTAAATTGAGGTCAAGGTATGTACTCCAAGGACATTACGACTTCTGTTTATTTGATTTTCATTTAGTAACTTTCACAAGTTTAAAAGATCTTCCAAAGAGAAAATATTTTTAAATGTACCATATTTAAACAAGATAAGAGCTGTGCTATGTTTGTTTAAAATCATTTCATACTTTTTACATTTATAGTTTTATCTAAGAATTATTTTGGTATTGTCATTTCCTATTCATCTAACCCATTTAATACCAGAAGGTTTTTATGAATATTGTGTAGACTGGCCTTCACACCAAATACTGGATGGGCATAATGGTCGAGTAACCTGCCTTCTGTATCCCAATCACATCCACAGTAGGTATGATATTGCATATCTTGTCTCCGGTGGTGTGGACTTCTCTGTGTGCCTGTGGGACATATATGCTGGAACATTATTGCACCGCTTTTGTGTGCATGCTGGAGAAATTACACAACTTCTTGTGCCTCCTAATAACTGTACAGTAAGTTTCTGGTGCTGTGTATAGTAAATCTTAAAAATTGATTTATTGATTTGTTTTATTTTTGTTAACTGACATGTTTTATTGCTTGTGTATTGAAAGGTCATTGTCAAAAGTGATAAATCCTATCATGTGTTGTGAATTTTGTATTTTTCTTTCTAAGTTTTTTCAGATACATAATTCATGAAGAGTTATCTGTGTTTTCATTATCATTGTTTGTGTGTATGTCTTCCATGTCTACTCAGTTCATCTTTCATTTTAGATAGATTTTAGCAAAAAGTAGTTTGGATGTTTGTTGGTATTTTAAACGTGTAGATAATTTAATGCCTTCTGATAATTACTTGTTAATTTTGACAACTTGATCATAAAATAGGTATATATTAATAACAAGTATCTGATGAAATCAATGCCCCTTACATTTATTTTCTGGAAAGTTAAGTATCTTCTCAGTAGAATGAAATATCAGCTCACTTATTAATGTGCAATTACATAAAACCTCTCTTCCTTTAATATAAGTAATATGTTTACTAAGCTTTGTAAGTTATGAAGTTAATATTCTAATGTGACTTTAAATAAAAAATCCAATTCTGTAATAATACATTAATTAACAGTTATGAAGAATAATTTATTTCTTGCTTTATTTCTCATATAGAATTCTTCCTTAGTTTTACATATTTCAGTAGTGTTCAACTGTAGGTAATTCTTCTGTAATTGAAGTAAAACTTGTTTGTATTTAATGATAAAAGAAACTGTGTTTTGTTGATTATTGCAACTTAAAAATCAGAAACTTTTGCAATACGAGTTGTTAGTTGTATTTTCAACATCTTGTTTTCTCACAGTAAATTACATAAAAATTTGTTTACTGGATATAAAATGCTGAACCGTTTGTAATGGTTTAGTGGTCATGTACCTTATAAATATTAATTTCATTTCATCTTGGTCACCTATTGAAACAGTGTAGTATTCTCAGGTAATTTGTTTCCACATAAATATCAGATAAGTTTGTTTGATAACAGCAGGATTGAACAGAAAATTTAGTGTAATTTGAATTTGAAAACCAAACTGAATTTTATGTTATGTAAGAAATGAGACTGGACATGTGATGTTAGGTAAAACAGTCTTTATTACAAACAAAGCAAAAACAACAAACTACCTACTTGCATTAGACTCAAGACAATTCCCATATTACTGAATCTATGAACAGATCAGCAGCTTCTCTCAAGATAGAAGTCTGTAGAATTGTTAATTTTAGTGGTCAAGTAGAACTCTTAAAAGGATAGAAGTTGCAACTTGAAAGAAACTTTATATCCTTCTTTGTGATAGCATCACCATGACTGGTCATTCTCTCACAGCATTCGTCATCTGTAATATACAGACATCATTCACTCAACCAGTGAAAGACATAGAAGTTGTTTAATTCAAATTTGACGACGAGGAACCCACTTGAGACTAATAATGGTTGGAGATGGCTTGAATGGGTAATGAAGAAAAACTTTAATATAAGTTTAACATAACAGCAAAGGTACAACTTTTCGACAAGGTTTTGTCATCATCAGGTACCTTGCAGCTACATTGCAGTGTGCATCACTTTTTAGCTTGTAAAGAAAAGATTCTCACATCTTTTCAGTCAGTAATTGTGCACAAACGTGTATTTTCCATTTAGTGTAATATAGCTGATGCTACTACAACATTTCTACTTACTTCCATTTGCTTGTCATTCCTCTAAACATTTCAGTGGTAGTCAATCATTCATAATTTCAAAACAATACTGGGACTTCATTCCTCTTTGGAGATGACTGTCTGAGCCAATGCTGCTTGCTTTCTAGACTGTCCAAACTTTGATTGTTCAAGCAGCTATCATCCAATATCCAGCAAATGTCGCATTTAGTTAAACTCCCCCGAAAGAAAGAGTGTCTAAGCCATTTTGGTCCCACTAATTTTACAATCAAAAAAGCATCCTATCTTTGTCAATCAAGTTATGGTCACAAAAGGTATTTCATTAGAAGCACCTCTCAAAAGCTCAAAGCAAGGATTGCATAGCCCTTTAAGTTGTTGGCTTCTTGGTCAAACAAAACCATCTTGCTTAGTGATGAGCAATTAGTCTCACTCGTATTGACCTTGAAGTTGGTATTGGTGACTCCTCTGAAAGTCAGAGCTGTCTCTCACCTATATTTAGTCTGGAATAAACCACCACACACACATATATACATATTTATAAATATATATAGTCCATTGTTTCTGGCCTCGATCTGGCTTGTATTAGATGACTCTGTCTCTCACATGGACTTGCCTCTTGTACAGATGAAACTGATGTATAACTTCCACAGTAAATTTATCCCAATGATGCCAGTATTACATTTAAGGTTGTAGATGACTATTTTTCATTCTGTGAGCAACATTTATAGAGCCTGAGATCTACAATCTATCCCTTCTCTGATATCTAGTTTATTACCATTCACCCGAATGAACTTAGTTTCCACAAGCCTTAGTGGTGTTCTTACTTGGAGGGCTTGAAAGATTGTGAGATCCACTAGGGTTCTTACTGCTCCTCTGTCAACCAAGAACTCTGCCTCTTGACCATGTACCCACACAGGTGTGTACCAAGTTCCATCAAACCCAGAAATACTGGACTGACCACTAAATACTTCAAAGTAAGCAGTCTGCTGTGGTGCCCTATGCCAAAGGCCAAACCTGACTTAGACTATGTCAGTTTTGTAGTGGATTTGTCACAGCATATTATGCTTGTTATTGGTTATCCTGGACTTTTTGATATAATTGCCAGTACTGATTACCTTGCCTGCTTTGTGGGTTGGCTGGAACCATTAGCCCTGTTTTTTTTGTGTTTTTTTGCTACTTGACAAAGTATGGGCTCTGCACTCACCAGTACTCAATTAGTCCATGTGAAACAGATGCTTCCTCCTCCCATCTTGAACAACATACAGGTGGTAGCATCACTGGCATTTCCTGTTGCATGTATCTGGATACCCATGCTTACTTACTGGAAACTAGTGTGTTTGCATTTACGGTACTGTAATGTGTGGGTGGCTGGTTAACTCTTGATACATGTCTAGTCTGGTGCAGTGGAGGTGCTTGAGTAGATTGGTCCATCTGATGTTCAGCATCTATATATGGCTGTCACTATGGGCTTTTCTTTCTCTAATGACTAACCCATAGCTACTACTTCATACCAGGTTGCTACAGAAATTACCTTGGTTAAATTCGGTGACGAGGAACCCACTTTGAGACTAATAATGGCTGGAGACGGCTTGAATGGGTAATGAAGAAAAACTTTATAAAAGTTTAACATAACAGCAAATGTACAATGTTTCGACAAGGTTTTGTCATCGTCAGGTACAAGTAATTTACACTGACACGGATATATATATACAGTATTGAACAAAGAAGTCACATGACCGGAAATGTTGAAGCCAAAATTCACCGCAAAAACACACACACTGGTCTCTACATCCCCTGGAATTCCG